ATTTACTTCAAGTTAATGTCATTTGATAATCACCGATGAAGATTAAAAAAACAAACACAATCATTAAATTTTAACAAACTAATTATTAAATGGTAAATGATAACCAAATTATAATAACTGATATTAAATGGTAATAAACAAAACGAACTGAAATAAATTAAAAAAGTCCAACAAATTTAACAAAATAAAGTAAGTATTAAATGAGAAATAAAAAAAATTACAATTTAACAAAATAAAGTAAATACAAATATAATAAAAAACAAAATCTATCGATGCCTGCGACGCGAATGTGTTCCGCAGGGCGGTGGCTGTCGGTCTCGAGGAGGATTTCTTCGTATCACTGGTTCTGACTCATCGTTGTCATCATCATCACCATCGTCATCGTCGTCGTCTTGCGCAAGTACATTAGGTTGATGAGGAGCTGATGACGATGAAGCACCTCCGTAGAATAAGGACCCTAGAGGTGTATGACTGACTATCCCACCGGCCTGCGAAAACTGGGAAAACTCATAAAAACTAGACATCGATGAGTATGAAAACTGTATAGGAGGCAGTGTCTGTGCTGCAACCATGAGTGATGAGGCTGAACCTGCCAAATATCCAGCATATGAACCCCATGTCGGATCTGCAAACATAGACCCATAATAGCCTCCAGGAGGGGTTATCTGTGACGGTGGCGGGGGTCATAAAACCAAGTGAAGGCGGAGGCATCTGGTAATGGAAAGGCGACGGCGGCATCATAGATGGCTGCAGCATCATATATGGCTGTGGTGGCTGCTGGAAAGGTCTTGCTTGTGCAGCTGAGGATGAACCGGAAGCACCTGCTCTCCGTCCATGAGTCGGGGGACGATGGTGCTGTGTCGGTGAACGTCTCTGTCGACGTCGTGGAAATGTCTACCCTCGTGCATCCTCGGGAAGTAGAAACGGTTTCCCGTTACTGTTGAACCACTCATAATAATCCTCAGCATATATCAAGAAGTCAGTAAAAATGGGCTCTCTACGTGGAAGACACCGATGTCGATCCTCCCACAACACGACCCCCCCATGATGCCTCACCAGGCAATCTGTATCTGTCTTGCCGAGTTTATCTAAGCTATGCAACTCGTCCATATTGCGAGGTGCTTCCGGAATTGGTTGAAAACAACCAAACTGCCAGAGCACGCGATCAGTGGAGTGCCACTCGACGGTCGCATAACAGATCAGAGAGACCATCGCCATCCAAACATCTAATGGACCCCTCAACTCAGGTGGGATCACAACCCTCACATCATCAGTAGAATATGGTACCCATTCAAACTAAAACAAATAATATATAATTTTTATCAAAATAATAATCTAATTGTATAACTATAATCTAAAATCGATTTTTAAACATTAAAATTCATACATGTGTGCCAGTCTTCCGATCGATTATCACCCTAATATTTTCTAAATCATCAGGTAGCTCCTGATGATTTTTCCTATCAATAGACCACCTATTCAAGGACAAAATTTTGTTATACGCTGTATAAAATTATTAATATACAAAATCAGTTTTATAATTACCTCAGAAGTAGTGGAAATATGAATGGGTTCTTCACAACGGGACATAAAAAGGGCAAGCGATACCATGCCCAAGATTGCAGCAGCAGGAGACATCCGCCGATAGCATTACGCCTGTAGTCAGTGGCTCCACACATCTCTCTATACATCAAAGCCAAATCTGCCGAGCCCCAACTGAATGATCCGACGAGACGAAAGTCGCTAAGATGTCGCAACCACATGCAGTGAACTAGGTTGCGCGATTTGTCCGACATCAGCAACCCTCCTATCAGCTGCAGTATGCATGCCCGTGCATACATCTTAACGTCATCCTCAGAGGCGTCTGCGCTCAACTCCCGAAAATTGGCATCTAACCAATTTAACGGTATCCTACCTCCGATAAAATTTTCCGGGACACGTCCTAGACTATCCCGACACAAAATAGTCCAAGAACCGGAAGCTATCCCCGATATCACATATCTATCCACCGGAAGCCCCAGGTGCATAGAAACATCCTCAAGCGTGATCGTGCACTCTCCACACGGAAGATGAAATGTGTGGGTCTCCGGCCTCCACCGCTCTACTAAGGAAGAAATCATGTCTGGCTCTATCTTACAGTGACTCTGATATCTACCTATGTAACCGAATCCAACCTCTACTAAATACGGCAAGACACGACTGGATATCACTAACTTAAGATTCCTAATAAAAGGATCTAACACACGATCCTTCTCCTAAAAATAAATAATTACAAAAATTAATTCTTAATCTAATAATCATGCATTAAATGAATCAACTAATTATTACTAATAATTTAAATTAAATTAAAACGTTAAAATGTTACCGTATCAGCAAAGTGTCGAGATATTTAATTCTTAATCTAATAATCATGCATTAAATAAATAACTAAATATTACTAATAATTTAAATTAAATTAAAACGTTAAAATGTTACAGTATCAGCAAAGTGTAGAGATATACGATTTCCATTTGAGCGAAGTAGACTGTCTTCCATTATATATCTGCAAATGAATTATATTAGTAAAATATTAAATAAAGTAAAAATATAATAGTAAAAATATTATAAAATATACCTTAAAAAGAGAGTATTTGAGAGAAATTTAGAGAATTTGAGAGAATTTGGTGTGATAAAAGTGATCGAGGATGGGGGTATTTATAGGGAGGATAGGGGACATGAGGGGGTAATTAGGGGTATAGCGCGCCCCCTGCACCGCGCTATACCCCACGTGTCAGATATTCAGGTATAACGCGCTGTAGGGGCCGCGGTATACCCATGTGTATGCCAGATCATCGTATAGCGCGGTGCATGGGACACGCTATACCACACGTGGCGCCAAATCATCGTTTAACACAGTGCAAGGGGCACGCTTTACTGCTAAAGGTGTTAGATTGAGAAATATAATATGACCGATGTTAGATCAAAAATATACTGTTCACCGATAATATATCGAGAAAATCATCATATTATAAGATCACTATAATTATTTTCTCTTATTTATAAAGTAAAAAAGTTTATGTGTGAGAAAGGGGATCCCATTATTCTAAAGCTTTGGTCTTTGAGAATTGTGAGTCCCAATGCCAACTAATAATGACATGAAAGAAAGAGAAAAATGGACAGTCAATAAATATTTTAGTATTAAAATAAAATATTTCAAAAACATTATATTTGAATTTTTTATAATCATCCGTTAATCTATTAATTGATTAATTCAAAAAATGAGCGTAAAGATCTCCTATTTAATTTAGAGTTAAATAATGGTGATTTTATGGCGTAATTGAAAATATAATAAAAATAAAAATTATAATATTTTAAATTAAATGTAATTTAAAATATTATATTTTTAGTATATTTGGTTGATAATAGAAAATGTTAAATTTTTTTAATATTTTAGGTTTAATAAAAATATTAGTAAATATAACATTTTAGGTTATATTCAACCTAAAATATTATAATTTTTAGGGTAAATTATACATTTAGTAAATAAATTATTAGTTTTACTCCATTTTAGTACCTAAATTTTCAGTTTTTTCAAAACTATACCTAACGTTTAATTTTTATTTAATTTTAGTACCTCATCGTTAAAACTTAACCTGTTCGATATCTAAATTATTAGTTTTAATCTATTTTAGTACCTAAACTTTTAATTTTTTCAAAAGTTATGTTAAATTTATGTTAAAAACTAAATTAAACACATAGTTTACATTAATTTTTATAATATTTTTAATTATACCTTAAAATCATTTTTTTAACATAAATTAGACTACCCATCAAAATCACCCTAAAATTTTAGGACAATATGTTTACATGTACACTAAGTGATAGAAGGTATTGTCAAAATTGACAAGCAAGGTACCAATGTCAAAGCAACAACAAGACCCTTTGGTTACCTAAAGGCTGCCACAAACCTAAAGCTTTTGACAAGTTTTCAAGATTCCATTGCCGGTTGCCACAAACAAGACCTACCACCGTTGCTTGATTCTCCTCTGAATTCTTATAACAAATTAAAAATAAATGATAAGCTGTGAAATGAGCTAGATTTTAGCTTCTTGACCAAACAAATTAAAAATCTTCAAGCTCTCTTCCCAAGGTTCATATTTTAATCAAAGGGACTAATCAAAAGGACTAATGGAGTTGGCAATGTCAGTTGATTGATCAAATGGGTATAATTATAACTTAAATATACAGATTAAGAATACCAAAAAACAAACTTTAAAAATAACCCCAAATTTATTTGAAGTTTTGTTTTTTGGTTTTGGAGGAGGGGTGTTTTGTAATATTTTAACAGTAGCAGTGGCGGTGGTTAATGATCAAATAGCTCTCTTTTTGATGCAGCACATTTGCCATTACTCTCCTCTTTCACCCCATCTTCTACAAAATAGACAAATATCCATTGATTTTCCCTCACTCTAAAGTAATAAAACTCTCTCCTTTATTACTCTTCCTCTTCTCTAGTTTTATGGGACTGTTTTGTAGCAGAGATGCTCTGTTGCTCAAGAGTAAAGCTAAAATTCTATAAAAGCTTTAACTGTGGTGTGTTGAATGAGTGAGCAGAGGGAATACAGAAAAAGTAAGCACAGAACCTGAAAATGTGTATCTCTCTCTCCCTGTTCCTAGTTTCAGTTGAGTTTCTCTCTTTTTCTGGGTTTCTCTGCTAAATTCTGACTAGGGTTTTGACTGAGAAAGGGTGGCTTTATTTATTGTACTGAAACCAATGATCTTCTTCTCTTCTTTTTGGATTAAATTGACTGCTTATTATGGACTTTTACTCTCTTAGTTTCTCTCACAGCTTTTTTTTCTTCTGTTCCATCTTTTTGTCTTGAAAGCCTTTTCATCTGTGCAAGTTTGTGTACAGGCTTTGCTTTGGAAATGGCAGCTTGTTTCAGCTATGTTTTTCCCTTTGAGGACTATATAACTTTCTTATATGTCAAAGAATTAGATGATTTGCACATGTGATGTGTTTCTTGTTGTTACTCATACCTATCTCTATTGTGGTCTTTGATCTTTAGTTTGATTAACTTAGACTTGGTGCAAATAAGTGCATTTTTAGGTATTGGTCAAATTTTCAAGGCTTAGTTTTCTGTTCATCAGCCTGACTTTGGACTATTGCATTCAAACATAATTGTAGAGGACTAGATTGAAATCTGCAATTCTACTGGCCAAAAAAAGAAGAAATCTGCAATTCTTGTCGAAGTGGAATGGATGTCGATGAGAAGGATAAGTTCAAGCTAGAGAAGAGAAGTGACAATGGTATAAACTACCAAGGATCTGGTATGTCATCGGCTTGGCGGTTTAGTGGTGGCAATGTCACAAGTACTCCTATGAGTTTAGTTCATAGTGATAATCCATTTGTTATCGGCTCTTCGTCTGGTTCGGTTTCGATGGTAGATTCGTTTTGTTCTAACCTGTGGGAGCAGCCTGTTAATTCACAAAACTTGGGTTTTTGTGATATTAATGTGCAAAACGGTGTGAGCTCTTCAAATGCAATGGGAATTGCGAGAGACGGTCCCGCCTCTATGAGAAGTAGCATTGATAGACCATTTGATATGGGATGGAATGCTTCAAGTTCGATGCTGAAAGGGTGTATGTTTTTACCGAATGCGACTGGGATTCTACCTCAGAGCCTGTCCCAGTTACCGGCTGACTCGGCTTTCATCGAACGTGCTGCCAAGTTCTCGAGCTTTAGTGGGGGGAATTTTAGTGATATGGTCAACCCTTTTGGCATTCCCGAATCTATGGCCGTGTATAATAGGGGTGTGAGCCTGATGCAAGGACCACAAGATGTTTCTGCAATCGGTGGGATGAAATCAGTATCCGGTGTGGAACCTCAGAAAACTAGGATGATTGCCACTGAAACTTCCAGTGATGCTTGTTTGCGAGCTGAAAATAGGGCTTCTCAAGAAAGTCCGCTCAAGAATGTAAGGAGAAGTGAAAGTCTCACGCGGTCTAATGAAGAAATTAAACTAGGAAACGGTGGCTCAGGTGAGGCCGAGTCTAGTGACGGTGTTGGTAGTCAAGATGAGCCATCTGCATTGGATGGTACAGGCTGTGAACCGTCAGCTAAAGGTGTTAGTTATAAGAAAAGAAAAAGGAGCATTCAGGTGAAACAACGTTTATCTACTTCCCCTGATTTACTATTCACTTTTTGTTTATACATCGTTTTGATTGCTAAGTTTACCGCAGGATGCTGAGATTGATCAAGCTAACAGAAGCCAATCACCTGTCGAGGCTGCTAAGGATGGTGCTGAAAACCAACAGAAAGGAAACCAGAACCAATGTACATTGTTGAACAGGCCTACGACAAAACATGGAAAACAAGGGCCTCAAGCATCTGATCCACCAAAAGAAGAATACATCCATTTCAGAGCTCGAAGAGGCCAGGCAACAAACAGCCATAGTCTTGCAGAAAGGGTAAGGTTTACACGGAAAACTTACTTTTGAAATATTTAGATCATCCGATTGGAGTTAATTGGTTATGACCTTAGGTAAGGAGAGAAAAGATCAGTGAAAGGATGAAATTTCTGCAGGACCTTGTTCCTGGTTGCAATAAGGTATGTTTTCGTAGATGGTATAGCTTAACGAGTACAGTCGAATAACTTCTTTGCAGCAGTTGGTTTAGTTCGGTTTGTAAGGGTTTATCCGTTCTTGCAGGTTACAGGCAAAGCAGTGATGCTCGATGAAATCATTAACTACGTGCAATCACTTCAGCGGCAAGTTAAGGTATCGGAGTTGAGTTCTCAGTGGTAACCTGCGAATAACTGAATAGATATAACCATAAGCTATCCTTAACAAGCTCTAATGTATCACTTTATTTTCTTCTTTTTGCAGTTTCTATCGATGAAACTTGCAACGGTGAACCCACTGCTTGATTGCGATATACAAGGGCTTCTTGCGAAAGATGTAAGCTGATATGTGTAGATTTAGCAATTACTCCCGTCTATATGTCTCACATCTAATCCATCAAACTGCAGATTATTCAATCGCGAGCCGGTCCATCAACGCTGGGGCTCCATCCGGACTTGTCTGTGGGTTATACTCCGTTACATCCATCTCAACCTGGACTTGTTTCAGGTGGTCTTCCTGTCATGGGGAGTAATGCTGATTTTATGCGTGGAACTCTCGGTTCCCACTTCATGCCAATGACCAGAGGATTCAAGGAGCCTAATCAGGTTTTACTTCAGTTTTCTTAATAGTTCACACTCGCATGAGGCAGATAACATAAAATGTCGTCTGCTTTAACAAATTTACTTCTCAGTGTGTCGATGCATTTTTTATTGTAGCTATCAAATGCATGGGAGGTTGAGCTCCACAACGTCGTCCAAATGAACTACGGAACCAGTGTTCCTTCCGACTGCCAAGAAGTAAATGGTATTTACTCTCTCTAATTCACTCGCCCCAAGGTTGAATATTCTTCGACCCGGACTGTAGTTCATCTATTTCTTTTGCAGGGTCTCAACCATCAGGCCATACGAAAGTATAACTTCGATCCTAATGGGTTTATATAGCTCTATTTCTGGCAGCTCGGATTTATAACATACGTTTTTGAAGATAGCCAAAGACATGCAATTTGAATATGATGCCACTATTCTCCTACCCTGTACTCACTGAATAACTGAAGGCATCATCGGCCTGGATTTATAACAGGGAATATCAGTCAAGTTCGACCGAAGCAGATGCATGTTCGACGGCAACGGGAGGCAATTGTATCATTTGTATGGTTGTATAGATTGATGATATGGAATTTTTTTTGTGATGTGGGAGTTGGATGTTTTTATGTAGTTATCTTTGAAGATGTCTTACTGTAATTTACAGATAACAGTGAGATGCATTTTGTTCAGTTTGGAGATGTAATTTGCAATTCTTTTTTGGGTAAACTACATATTTAGTACCTAAATTCTTAATTTTTTTCAAAATCATACTTGATGTTTATTTTTGTTTCATTTTAGTACTTCACCATTAAAAACTAAGCTTTTTTAGTATTTAAATTATTGATTTTGGTCATGTTTAGTCCTTAAACTTTCAATTTTTTTTTTCAAAATCTAACGTTAAATTTTAAGCAAGGGTAATAAAATAAAACAAAAGCAAAACTTTTAAGTATGCTTTTGAAAATTTTAAATATTAAAAAGGATCAAAATTGATAATTTAAGTATTAAACAAAACAAAAACAAAACTTTTAAATATGATTTTGAAAATTATAAAATTTTAAATATTAAAACTGATCAAAATTGATACTTCAAGTGTTAAACGTGAAATTTACCATTCTTTTTATTATATATCAAGTAGGGTCTAAAATTTTCCCTTGGGGACTAAAATTTTCCCTTTTAAAAACGAAATTTCATTAATGAGTGAAAATGAAGGATCAAAGTCAAATAGAAAATATAAGATTTTTATTGCCAAAAAATGAATTATCTTAAATATTTAATTTTTTTTTATTTTAGTCCGATCGGGAGAGTCTAAGAAAAAAGAGCCTAATTAAAGGTTGAGAAAAGACACTACCAAAAATATTATGAAAAGCATTCGGTTGAGCGCAATCTAAAATGTTAATTCTTTTTAACATTTTATGGTTGGAAACAATGTTTATAACATTTTCGGTTGACAACCGAAAATTTTACCTTTTGCATAACATTTTCGGTTAAATTAAAAATGTTAAAAGTTAACAGTTTAGGTTGCGTCCAACCGAAAATATTATCATTTTTATTACATTTTTGTTCGCGCTCATTTTCTGTCATTCCTTAATAGGGATGTAAAATTATGTAATCATTCATGTTTCAGTCAAGTTCTGTCAGGTCAGGTCAAATCAGATACAGGTCATGTCAGATCAATTTGATGATTCGACTTAGATCAGGTCGGGTTCGACTCGGATCAATTTGGGTTATTTTCAGGTTGATTTTACCATCGGATTTAGATCGGGTTCGGATCGGGTTACTTTCAGTTCGGATTGGGTTATTTTCAGTTCGGATCGATGTCAGCTCAGGTCAAAATGGTTCATGTCTGAATTAGTAAATTCGAGGTTAACTCAGGTTAGGATAGATTTCAGATTGGATCTCGTTCAGATCGAGTCACATCATTGACATATAAAATCCAGGTCGGATCTTACCAGGTATAGATCGACTTCAGGTCGGCTAATTTTTGGGTTAATTATTTTTCGTCTTTCATGAACGATGAATTGTAATTTTTAATTGTATATAATTTGGAGTAAATTACAAAAAAATATAAATAATTGTGAATCAATTTGAATGAAAATATAATTTAAGGACTAAATTGAAAAAAAGAAATTGCAAACAAAAATTTAAATAAATTAAACAACACGCATGTACGAGGGACTAAATTGAAATATAAATAAGTATGAACCAATTTCGTATAAAATATAATTTTAAGGATAAAATTGAAGTAAATTACAAAAATATAAACAAATATGGGCCAATTGCACATACAAATATAATTTTAAGGACTAAATTGGACAAATTAATATTTAAATAAATTACACAACACATAGGGACCAAATTCAAATAGTTGTAAAATATGAAACTAAAATTAATATAAAAATAAACTACTCGCATTCATTTTAAAAATTGAGAAAAAATAAAAAAATTAACATATATATATGTGTATTATATAATATTTATATATAATACAAGTATACTTATAAGTATATAATGTATAAATATATATTATACTTATAATATATACATTATAGTTATAAGTATATATTTATATAAGTATACATTATATTTGTAATGTATATTATACTTAAATAAGTATATATATATATTACTTATATAAATATAATATAGATATATATAAGTATACATTATACTTATAAGTATATATATATAAGTATACATTATACTTATAAGTATATAATATAAGTATACATTATACTTATGCATATATATACTTATATATATAATTACACTCACACTCAGACACACACACACATATATATATATATATATATATATATATATATATATATATATAAAAGTATCTATATATAAGTATGTATATAAATATATATAAATATATATATATATATATAAGTATAATATATATGTATATATAAGTATATATACATAAGTATAAATATATATATATATATATATATATATATTATTAAACATAAGTGACTAAAATAAAATATTATAAAATTAATATTCACATTTAATAATTGTGCACATTAAAGAAAGAAGAGAAAATTAAAAGTAATTAGAATGTATACAGTACTAAATTGCATTGAATTGAAAAATTCAAGAAAATATTTATTAGAGGACCGCGTCCCTAGTTAATCCAAAAATCTAGTGGGGAGCCACTATTTGCGTATATACGCAAAAATCAAAATTTTCCTCTTCCCTCTTTTAAATTCCTAAAAAATCAATTTTTCTCTAAAAAACAATCTTTCTTTAAAAAGTTTTCTCACCACACATTTGAATATATATATATATATATATATATATATATATATATATATTTATTTTAAATTTATCCTTAAATTTTAAAATTTTAAATTTTTAATCTCAAATAAACTTATCTTTTATATATATTTTAAAATTTTATGTTAAATTATATTTAAATTATTAATTAGTTAGTACATAAATAAAAATTCAACTTATAAATATTTAAATTAATTTTATATAATCTAATAAAACCATATTAAATAAATAAATTATTTAAGGAAATTAATTTAATGATTATAATTAAGATTTATAATATAAGGATTATAATTAATATAGGAAGTAATTGTAACATCCCAAAATACGAGTTAGTGACTAAATCATAAAACTTCAGAGTTTGGTGATTTAAGTAGGATATTTGTATAGTCCAATGATTTGTTCGGAAATATTTTCTGAAAGTTATTAGTAATTATCAAAGGAATTAAAGGGCAAAATGGTCATTTAGCATGAAAGATATTTTCCCCCAATAATATGAATAAATCACGTGGGGGGTGGGGGAAAGAGTTATCTGAAAACTCTTTCTTCTTCCTTCCTTCTTCTCCCAACCGTGGAAGCTAGGCAAAGGTAAGGATTTCCTGATTTGTTGGTTATTTGTTAAATTAAAGGTTAGGTTTTGATCACTAGATGATAATTAATTTTAAGGAAAGCTTAATTTGTTCTAAAACAACAAGATGAAAGGTATAGGAGAGATTAAAGATTTTGAGTTTTGAATGAAATCTTGAAATAGAGTTGATAAGTTGAATTTGAAGTTAAAATTTGACTTGTTATCATGCTAATTAAGGAATATGAAGTGTTAGAATTGTATTTAGAACATATTGAAATTTGAGTATGATTCTTGAATTACATATGAAGGATAGGATTTTGAAGTTATAGATGATTTTCATGGATATAAGTTGGTTTAAGTAATGGTAGTTGAGTTTAATGACATGATAGGGTTTAAAATAGAAGAATTAAGTGAAGAATTGATGATTTTCGAGGTTAGAATACAATTTCTGGGTAGAGCGAACCGATACCCTATGAATGGGAACCGATTCCCCCTCTTGGACGAAAATTTCCAGAATGTCCAGGGGGTATCGATTCCCCCTGGGGGGGTATCGATTCCCCCCTAATGAAAAAAATGGAATTTGATTCATTAAACCGGTTTAAGTTATTAACATCAAGTTTAAAGTTTAGGCTTATGATAGTTGTTTTGAAATGATATATTTATGTAGATATTGAGCCTAAACAAATTCCGGAATAATCAAAGGATTATAATCAAATCAAAGCAAGGCTAAGGTGAGTGCAATTTTAATTGTACTTATATTATTGAACATTGGCTTGCGATGAGCTAGTGATGGAGTTACTATGGTAAAAAGTGACTCTTAAAATGTTAATTGATTTGTGATTCTTATATATGCATGAATACATGAAATGGGTATAGGTTATTATATATGTTATATGATATGCATAGACATAAGAGCAGCATGATATATGATATGATATACATGATTATATGCATATATGATATATGCTATGAGACATGATCAATGTGAAATGAGATAAGTTATGTGAATATATGAAATGATATATGAACGTGATACATGTGATATGATATGAAATACATGGTTACACATACATGTGGTATGTGACAGAAAAGAAAGAACAAGTGATGAGAAAAGTATTTATCGTAAATGCCCATAGTATATGATACGAGAGCTATAGGTATAGTTGGCATGCCAAGAGTCGAGGGTATTGTAGTCTTTCGGGACGTAGTCCTTCGGGACGTAGTGGTCCTATGGGACATTTATATCAGTCCTTCGGGACGAATACTGAACAAATGTTCGGTGCCCCATGAGGGAATTTATACGAGCTGTGGTGACAGCAGTGGTGCACAACCTCAATGTACTCACATACCTCTATTCTCAATAATATACGTGGGCAACAACAACAGCAATTGAAATATAAATTAAAGTGAAAGTGATGCAAAAAGGTAAGTTTCATGTGTGCATGACTTGGTTATATATGTCATAGGAAATATATCCATGCATATTGAAATATCATGATCAAATGGTAAGAATGCATATTCATGAATCTATTGTTACATGTTTATTTATTGCCTCACTAAGTCTATGACTTAGCGTGTAAGTGATTTACACGTAGGTACCAAGAAACGTGAAGAGCAAGAATAGAAGTGGCAAGGACAGTATTATTACTAGAAGATCAGATCAGAAGTAATCGACAAAGTATATATTTTGTTGTGTATAGAGTGTTGGCATGTAATAAGTCGTTAATTATGAGCACTCTGATCGAGTTTGTATTTTGTAGTCTCTTCTATGTAAATTAAAGTATTTTGTTTTAAACAAAGTTTTAAATTTCCCGGGGATTTTCTTTTAGTGTCA